CCGTGTCTGGCAACGGATCGCAACCCTCAGTGTTGCCCCCGTACCGGACCGGGGACCGGCAACGGGATTGCAACCCTCGGTGTTGCTCCCGCGCCTCGCTCAGCCAGTGAGCGGGAACCGGTCTGTATGTGGGATCCAAACCCTCGGGTGGGAGCGCCGCCGCGCGGCGCACTTATCCAGTGCGCCACCGGGCCGGCCCCGGCTTTACCATTTTCTTAATTCAGATTTTCATTACCTCTTAGTTTCATTGGACTATACTGTTTCCTTACTAGTCTTCTTGATTCCCATCTTCGTCCTGCTCTCAACCAGTTTATCTTATATGATATCACAGTCAGATTAATCTTCCTAAAGTATAGCTTTGATCATGTCTAAAAACCTTTGATTGTTCTCTCTGTTATCATTGGAAATCTTTATTTCTTAATCTGAAACCCTCTAAAAATCACTTGTTTGATACCAGTGTGTTTTATCAGTTTTATCTTTTATTACTTCCTTTCACACTTTAGCAGAATTGAACACAATTATGTTCTTTTGCTCCAGGGTTAAACAGTATATAGCTATATGTTTACATATTACCCATCTTTGAAGATCCAACCAAAAAGAAAGGCACAACTGGTTCTGCTTAGGGAATGTACTAGTCTGTTTCTGTTGCTTATAACAAAATACCTAAAACTGGGTAATTTGTAGAGAAACAATATTTATTCCTCATAGTTTCAGAGGCCGGGAAGTTCAAAGTCCAGGGAACACATTCTGGTGAGGGATTCTACAGGTATGCAGAGTGTCACATGGCAAGAACTGCAGAGCAAAGAGAGAGCTAACTCCTTACTCCTCCCTTTAAAGCCCTCAGAACCACGCTCATGAACACCATTAAACCATCAATGGATTAATCTGTTTACTTAGGCATGGTCCTCACAATCTAGTCACCTCTTCATGGCTCCACCTTTTATTTACTGTATTTGGATTTCCCATACTCTTAACACTGTCACAGTGGGGGTTAAGTTTCTAGTACATGGACTTTGGGGGACACAATCAGTTCACAGCAGGGAATCAGGTAAGCCTTTCTTGGGAGGGTATCATTTGTCTAGATCTTGAAAGATTAGTAGAAATCACCAGAAAGAGATAGATAAAGAGATCATCCAGTTGGAGGGACAGGCATATATAAGAGGCACCGAAGAGGGAGTCATCTGGAAATATTTGGAATATCTGGAAGGTAGAGTACATGTAAGAGAGGGAGGCTAGACAGATAAGTTATGGCCAAATGTGTCAGGATAAGGAATTTAGACTTGATTCTCTAAGCAGGCAGGAAGAAACATTGGTAGGTTTCAAACAGTGAAATTACCTAATCAGATTTGGGTTTCAAAAATATAACCATGGCAGCAGTTTGGAGGATACTGAAGGTAGTTAACAGTCAGTATCTGGGAATAGCCTAGTAGAGTATATATGGAAAAGACCATTAAGAGAAAATTATAAATTTTTATTGAGTAATTTAAACAAGACCCGCAAGTAAATGGAGAGAAATCATATTCATTGTTTAGAAGCTATATTATAAAGATATAAATTTACCACCCGGTTGATTTCTAGATATAATGCAGTCCCAGTCAAAACCAAGCAGTTTTTGTGTGTGTCTGTGTATACCTTGATAAGCTGAATCTGTAATTTATATGAACATGCATAGGACCAAATAGCTAACACCCTTTAGAAGAAGAAGGTTGGAGAACTCTATCATATGTCTTGACTTATAACACTGTATTAATCAGTAGACCCATGGAACAGAAGAGAGAACCCCAGAACAGACCTATACGTCTGTGGATACTTGATTTGTGAGCATGACTTTGCAAAATGGGGAAGGAACTGACTTTTCAAGAAATGCTGCTGGGACATTTGAACTCTTACAAAAGAAAAAAAACAAATTTAGGTGGAATTAGAGTCCTATGTAGAAACCTATAAAGAGTTTAGAAAATTTTATAGGAGAATGAATAGCTCTATGGCCTCAGAGTAAGGAAAGATTTCTTTTTTATGTTTTCTGTTGTTTACCTGATAGGCAAAATTTATTTTTTTCAGTATATTTTGAAAGATATATATTTTTTTATCAAAATGCTATACTTTTAAGGAAAGAAGGTCATTATTATCCATACCTGTAATCTGAATATCATTTTTGTACTGAGATGACAGAATGAACATAATTTACAAAAGAACATGAAGCAAAAACCAGGATACAAATTGGTGACAGTCACAAAACAGAAAGATTTCTTAAAGGCACTAATCAAAAGGAAAATATTTATAATATTAACTGTGTTAAAAATAAGAACTTTTGTTCATAAAAAAGACCATAAAGAACATGAAAAGACAGCTACAAAATGGGAAAAGATATTTTTACCCCATTAACCCAACAAAGGACTTGGATTTAGAATATATAAAGAATTAATACAATTCAGTAAGAAGACAATACAGTAGAAAAATGGATGGAAGAAAAGGCACTTCACAGAAGAGAAAATCCAAATGGCCAATAAATATATGGAAAGATGCCTAATTTCATTAATAATTAGGGAAATGCAAATTAAAATCATATTGAGATAACATAATATTGACCAAAGTTTGAAAAAGTCTGGTAACACCAAGTGCCAAGTGTTAGTGCAGATGTGGAGGAGATGTGGAGGATCTGTTATACAATGTTATTAGGCATATAAATTAGAAAACTCTTTGAAAAATAGTTTTGTATAAAAACTGAATGACCAAGAAGAGATACATACTCTGGAGAATCTTGTATCTGTGTTTAAAAGTCGTCATAGTAGCATTGTTTGTAATAGCCAAAACTAGAAACCACACAAAAGTTCCTCAGCAGTGGAATAGACAGATAACATTGTGGTAAATTCGTAACATTGCACACCGATAGCAATGAATACCTATAGCGTGAAGCTACTTGCAGCAATGTGGATGAGTCTTAAGAACATAATGTTGAATGGAAGAAGCAAGACCCAAAAGAATGTATACAGCATGATTGCTTTTATGTAAAGTTCAAAGCAGACCAAACTGATATAATCTGGAAAATTTTGAACAAAATTGTTAAAAATTATATGGGATAAAAATCAATGTATCTGAATACATTTCGTATAATGTAATCTTAAGTATATATGTGGAACTAAATCACTGAGTTAAATATTACCATTGGCATATTGCTTCTGTCTGTATCCTCCCAAATTATTACATTTATTTGAGCTGAAATATTTGGTGTGTGGGGGTATTTTTATCAGGGGAAATGTGAGGACATTTTATATTTGGTTATATATGGTGTTTAGGAGTTAGAATTAGGTAGACCTGGTTACTGACTGGGTTTGACTGATAGAAAAATGATCAAAGGTGATGTAAGTTTCTGATGCTGTGTCTTGCTAATAGGGGATAAATTAAGAGCAGTATTGGACTTACTAAGTTTATAGATCCAGTTGAAGAAGGTTTATAATTGCAGAAGAGGCCAGGAGATAGACAAGGACTAAAGATTTCAGTTTTACTTGAAGTCAGATTGAGCAAATAATTTAGCTCTGGAAGAACACTTACAAGAGAGAAAAGCATAGGATGAAACCTTGTAATTTAAGGAACTTGATCACATTTTAAGGAGGAGGTATTATTTAGGAGAATGAAAACCAGAAATAGCCAGGTGGGAAGGTTGGGTGGTTTGCATGTCATAAAACAATCCCTACTTTTGTTTTTTATTATTAATATCTCCTGCTACTGCCATAAGTATACTTTTTTGTAAATTGAACTGAAGAAATTTAAGTTATTGTATGTCAGTTTTGATTAACTTTTAACAGTTATTTCTAAGTGCTTGAGAAAAATCTCAAGATGTTTCATATTTTGTAATAAGGGAACCTGGAGAATAAGATGAAGAAGTAATTTTGGCAAACAGGTTTAGAATAGAAATTCTTAATCTAAAATTTAGAATATAAACTGTTCAAGTAGTCAGTTTAAATGTAGCAATTTTAAAAGCTTTTTTCCTCTTTGCTAACTTTTGCTTATCTTCAAAAATATATGTCCATCATTGCTTAAAATCTTTTGAAAACATTTCTTATGGAAATTTTCAAATATACACAAAGTAGAGAAAATTGCATAATGAACTGACTCTGCTTCAACAGTTGTCAACACTGGGCTTGTTCCATCCCTTCTCCTACCTCCTACCTCACTGGATTATTTTAAAGTGAATCCCAAATGTTATTTGTGAATAGTTCAGAATACCATATTCATTGTAAATTTCTGTTATGTGAAATAGTCAATTGTAAATACCTTTTATGGTTTTACTTTTTATTTGACTAATATTTAAAATTACCTAGTGAGGTATTCATGAACAATTATGAAGTATATTTTGCTTTCATAAAATTAATATTTTACTTTTAATTGCAGGGAAAATTATAAAGTCTGTTCCTGGGAAACTAATGAAAGAGGTGAATAACTGATTTATATGTATTCTATAACATGATAGACATAAACATACTTAAATATTGATGAATTTTAAAGGGTTATGTGATATTAAAAATCATGATCATGATTTTCGATTTTCTTATGATGATCTCTATCACCACAGAAAGGTCAGCATTTGGAACCTTTCATCATGAATTTTATTAATTCTTGTGAATCTCCGAAGCCTAAACCAAGTAGACCAGAACTGACCATTCTCAGCCCTACTTCAGAAAACAACAAGAAGGTATTACACGTTGTGTTAAAACGCCATTAAGTTTCAAGTTAACCTAATTGAGATAACTTCCATTATAGGGTGCATAAATCCTTTCTTAATGAAATGGATTAGACTTTACATTTCCTTTATATGGGAATCACTTGCACAGTGTACAGAGGGTATTGTTTTCTTTGCTTTCATGTGGCAAATGTTTCTTTAGTTTTTATATTTGCAAACTTGTACCATTTCTGTATTTGGGGGACTTTTATTCATTCATTCATTCATTCATTCAATCAATCAATCTATTTATTTAATTAATTAATTTATTTATTTATTTATTGGTGGCTGGCAAGTACAGGGATCATACCCTGGACCTTGGTTTTATCAGCACTTGGCTCTAACCAACTAAGCTAACTGGCTAGCATGTATTTGGGGGATTTTTTAAAAGCGGTTTTCTTAGGTTATATCACCAACTTCCAATAATCAAGGAATTAATTGGTGTAATGTATTTATGTTTATATGATGGTATTGCCTAATTTTAATGGCTTATAAAATATTTCATCCATTCATTAAACAAGCTTTTTATTGTATGCCTACTATTGAATCTAGGAGCTAGAAATACCAAGATATATTCCCTGTCCTCAAAAAGCTGTTTAGTACCAAAGTAGTGCCTAGCATGGGGAGCTGTGGTAATTCAAAGGACAGCTCCCTACTTCTCGATCATTATTTCTGTTATTATTATAAATGATATCTTTAATATTTTTTCATTTTATAGCTGTATTGTTGGTAAACAGAAATACAGTTAATTTCTTATATTAATTTTTTTCAACAGTTTACCTAGACTTGTATTGCTTTAGTAATATATTATTAATTCTTTTAGATTGACACAGTTATCCGCAAATGATGGTAGTTTTGTTTCATTCCTGGCTAGGACTTGCTATAGAATGAAAATCATTTCGTTGTTTCACCATTAAATAGAATAACGTAGCTTTCTTGTAGGTACCTTTTATGAGGTCAAGGAAGTTTACATCCATGTTTATGTGTAGAAATAGCCTATAATTTTTCTTTCTCATTCTATCCTTGGCAGGTTTTGGTATCAAAGTTATATTAGCCTTTTCTATTTTCTAGTAGAATTTGTTATAACTGGAATTGTTAGTTCTATAAATATTTGCTAGAACTTGTTAGTAAAGTCATCTAGGTCTCAAGTTTTGTTTGTAGTAAGTTTTTTACAACCAATTTAATTTCTTTAACAATTATAAAATTCTTCAGGTTTATTACTTCATTAATCAGTTCTGATAGGTTACATTTTCCATTTTAATCTTAATTAAATTTTAATTTTAATCCATTTTAAATTTGAAAATTTATTAGTGTGAAGTTGTCAGAAATACTCTCTTTTCTTTTCATTGTCTGACATCTATAGTATGTCTCTTTTTATTCCTAACATTGTTTATGTCTTTTTTTTGTTTTTTCTTTTTTTGCTCAATCTTGCCAAAGTTTTTTTCTATTTTCTCTTTCAGCTTTGTCGATCTTTTATGTCAGACTTTAAAATTTTTCTTCATTTCTATTATTCTTTTTTATTATTATTCTTTGTATTTCTCCAGAGTTATTTTTCTATTACAGTTTTACCTTCTTGAGGTGGAGCTAATACTTACCTTAATAATTTTTAGCCTTTCTTTTCTAATAAAAGCATTAAAAGGTATGCATTTTCCCTTAAGTCTGTTTTTAACTGTGGCTTATAAATTTTAATGTAGTATTTTTGTTATTCAGTTCAGAATTTTCCATTATGATTCTTTCTTTAACCAATGGGTTATTTAGAAAATGTTTCTTAATTTCCAAACATTTTTGAATTTTAAGTTATTCTCTTATTCTTGTTTTTGAATCCTAGTTTAATTGCATTGTGGTCAAAGAACACAATCCATATGATGTAAGTTTTCTATGTCACATTACAGCTGCCTCACTGCTTTTCCAACCTTCACTAATAGCTTGTCATTTTTCCAGGCTTTGCTGACAGACACCTTGCTACTTTTTCAGCCTCCACCCACCTCTGGCTTCCAAAGCTAATGCCATGTTTTCTAAGCAGCACCCTACTTTTAGGTACAGATTTCTGTATCAGTTATACATGGCTGTCTTGCAAATTACCTCAAAAGTTAGTGGCTTAAAACAACTATTTTATTTGCTCATGACTGTGTGGGTCAGTAATTTGGACTGGGCTTAGCTGCAATATACTTCTACTGGTTGCACCCGGGCTGTAGTCTTGGCTTTTGGGGGGGGCTAGATTGCCAAAGATGGCCCCATTCTCATGTCTGAATGTTGTTGCTGCCTCTTAGCTGGGCCACGTGTCTTCAGGAAGCAATCCTGGGCTCACATGGCAGCATTCTAAGAGGGCAAACCTCAATACACAACTTTCAAAGCCTCTGGGTACTCAACATTTTGCTCAAAAATTGTCCCATTAGTCAAAGCAAGATATGTAGCCAAGCCTGGAGTTCATGTGGTGGAGGGCTATGCAAGAGTGTGGCTACAGAGAGGCATGACCATGGACTATCACTTTAACAGTCTACCTCACTTCTTTTACCAGTTTTGAAAAATTCTCAGCTGTTATCTCTTTGGATATTGCCTTTTCCTTCTTTCTTCTCTTATCTCCTTTTTTTGGAACACTGATTCTTCTCCTATTTTCCATGTCTCTTAATGTTTCCGTCTCATATTTTCCATCTCCTTTGTTCCTCCTGCTTTCTGGTCTATCTCTGTTTATTTTTTCTAATCTCTCTTTCAGCTCTGCCTCTTTGATAATGTCTGATCTGCTGTTTAAACCTATACAGACTTTTTTTTTTTTTTTTTTTTTTAAAAGATGACCGGTAAGGGGATCTCAACCCTTGGCTTGGTGTTGTCAACACCACGCTCAGCTAGTGAGCCAACCGGCCATCCCTATATAGGATCCGAACCCGTGGCCTTGGTGTTATCAGCACCGCACTCTCCCAAGTGAGCTACAGGCTGGCCCGGGACTTTTAAAAAGTTTTTGTTACTGTGTTTTTTATTTTTAGAATTTGTTTACTTTTTTTCCCCAAGTCTACTACCTTTTTAAATAATTGTTTCTATTCCTTACAGACATTTTCAGGCAAAACACGAATTGAGTCTGATTATTGCATTATGCAACCCTGCTTAGTATTTGAGTCTTAAGCAGTAGGTATACAGACAGGTGTAAGACCATGGGGTAGGGAGGAACAAGAGAAGCTAACCTGCTTAGTGCTCTGAAGAGTATAGTGGCTAAAGACTTGGCTTATGTTAATTTTGTTTGTGTTTTGTGCTTTGTCTACATTAATGCACATTTGATTTTTTAATGGCTCCTTTACATTTATCTTTATTAAACACAAAAATTTCATTAAATATCATTATAAAGTAAAAAATGTTAAAATGTTCAAGAGGAGGAACTGAGATGTGGACCTTCATTTTTTTCTTCCCTCTGCTTAGTCATCATCTTTTTAATAGAATCTTTTAGGGTAAGTCTCAGCCCTCCAGAGTAAGAGCTTTGTCTCTCAAGAGATAGATACAAGTGCATTCCATTAGTCTTAGTAATATTTATCCTCTCTCTCAGGATTATTGTGAATAGACCTTGAGATTTGAACTCAAAACTGCTTGAAAAGATGTGAGAGATTCTTATGAAATTCTTTTTTAAGTTGCCTTCACTATATATGCATACTTTTGTGAATGATGGAATACGAAAGAGCTAATGGATAGGATTACAGAGGATTACCCAGGGAAAACATAAAAAAAGAGTTATACTGGAGTGTGAATTTTAGTATATAGGGGATATGTCTACAAAAGAGTTTATGAAAGTTTGGTCAAACTGGAAATTTACTTTGCTTGTGGCTTGGAAATGGGCCCAACCTTTTGGGAAAGGAATTTGGTACTATGTAACAAAATCCATCAGGTATTTATGCTCTTTGACCTTGTGACCCTAATGCTAGGAATTTCTCAGAATAAAATGACCTAACAGAAGAGCTTATAATATGTGAAGATGTTTATTAAAGTATTGTTTATAGAAATGAAAAATTAGAAACAACATGAAACTAATGTTACAGGAATGATTAATTATTTTAAGTAACATCTGCTCAAGGAATATTTTTTTTTTTTTTTGTCTTTTGTCTTTTTTCCGTGTCCGGCAACGGATCGCAACCCTCAGTGTTGCCCCCGTACCGGACCGGGGACTGGCAACGGGATCGCAAGCCTCGGTGTTGCTTCCCGCGCCTCGCTCAGCCAGTGAGCGGGAGCCGGTCTGTATGTGGGATCCGAACCCTCGAACGGGAGCGCCGCCGCGCTTCCCAAGCGGCGCACTACCCAGTGCGCCACCGGGCCGGCCCCGTGCTCAAGGAATATTTCGCAGCAGGTAAAATTATACTTATAAAAACTGTAAAGCAACATAAAGATATTTGATATGGTGCTAAGTAAAAAAAGTAGGGTATGAACAGAAAGATAAATAACTTGTTCTTACTCATGTGGGAGCTGAAGAAAAAAAAGTTGAGCTTGTAGAAGTAGAGAGTAGAATTGTGGTTACTAGAGGCTGAGAAGGAATGGGAGTGGAGACAGGGAGAGGTTGGTTAACAGATACAAAATCACAGTTAGGACAAATAAGTTCTAGTGCTAGGCAATCTATAATTAAGGATAATTTATTGTACGTTCTCAATTGGCTAGAAGAGATGAACTCAAATCCTCTCCTCACACAGTAATGATGTATTTCTGGGATGACAAATATGCCAATTACGACAATTTGATCATCACACATTACATATATGTATTGAAATGTAACTCTGTATCCCATAAATATGTATAATCAATACAAGTCAATTAAAATATTTTTAGGGAAAATGTTAAAACAAAAAAAAGGGCAAGATATTTTTTGCATCCCATTGATTGCAGCTGTGTACATAAAGACTAGAGGGGGATATACAAAAGTATAATAGTTATGGTATTAGGTGGTTGTGTTGTTTTTCTCCCTCTCTTTTCCAGACTTTCTATATTATTATTACTTTTTCTAATGAAAAAATTAAACTGAAAACATAGAAGAGTAGGGGAAGTGTATCAGGAGGGAGATTTCTTTTCATATTTCTTAGGTTGGAGAAAAATATTTTAGACTTACACCTCTGGGTTAAGTATATTTGACACAGGAGCCAATAGAATGTATGGTATCTGTTCTCAAGACACTTTTCTAGCAAGATTTCTGAAAATTCATTCTTCAGATAAAATTGAATATACTTTCTTCCACAGTCCCCTGTAATGTACTTCTCTCATAGTGCCCTTTTTATGTCATTTCATTTATTTCTTGACTTGTTTTATTAGATGTTAAACTTCTTGAAGAACAGTTATCTGTCTTTGTATTCCCTGGCCTTGGCACACTTATCTGGCACATAGAAAGTGCTTAATAATGGGTTCATGAATGAATATAACAATGCTTTTGTTAAAATTTGTTGCTCAAGATATATTCTATTATTATTATTAATAGATTCTTTTTGCATATTTTTGTGTAAGTAGGGCTGAGATTTAGATGCATTTCATCATTTTTATTATGAGTAATTCTTTAAGCCTTTTTTTTCGCCACACCAATTAGGCCTTTCTGTGCTTTAATATTATTGTCCAAATAAACATTGCTGAATTTCACCTCTGTGAATTAATTAAATGGTGATTTATAATCTTTAAATCATGTCAGTTTTAAAATTAGTTATTAATAATGTCTTTGGATGTTGCTTTGTTCCTTTTGGTGTATAAAAACAAAGGGGGGGGTTCTTTATGGATAGTAAATTATCTGTTGTATCTAAAATGAATGTAGGCTTTTATGTAATATTTGGGGGAGAACATATATTTTTAATGCAATTTTTGGTACAAATTTGGAATATCGTAAGCAGATCTTAACCTATCTGCTATTTTGTTTTGATTGGAAAAGTTTTAAATAGCTTTGCTCTGTGCCACTTTAGTGTTAGTGATTATCATCAGCAGGTGCATTAAACTATGTATCTCTTTATTATTTCAACTTGTACTTTATTTAGCTTTTCAATGATCTGTTTAAGAATAATGCAAACCGTGCTGAAAATACAGAGAGAAAGCAAAATCAGAATTATTTTATGGAGGTGATGACTATAGAAGGAGTCTATGATTACCTGATGTACATAGGTAAGAACTAAGTAGTTTATGTTAAGACCTGTTTTTTCTTCATTTATCTTATTTCTTCTGTGATACGGATTAATGCTCTTGAGTATTGTCCCATCATAACTATCTTTATACTTCTTTTATAAGAATTCACTACAATTGGCCTTGTATATATTAAAGTTACTAGTGTTTACAAATAAAATATTGAGCATTGTCATTTGTGTTTTCTATATTGGAAAATGTTCAGAATATTTATCTTTTACAATGAGGTTTTTCATTTGATTCTTCTCAGGACGGGTGGTTTTCCAAGTTCCTGACTGGCTTCATCATCTCTTAATGGGAACTCGAATCCTCTTTAAAAACACCCTGGAAATGTATACTGACTACTATCTTCAGTGTAAACTAGAACAGCTATTTCAGGAGCACCGATTGGTCTCACTCATAACACTTCTCAGAGGTTTGTATTTTTTCATGTGTATGTTTCATGTTTTCTGTTCTCAGTAATTTTAACTGGATCTAAGAGTAAGAACTCTTGTTTTTCTTTAGTTTATTAGTATTGCTATTATGAGGAAATACTTTGTGTATAAATAGGTGAAAATTCTTGAGATATTTCTTTTTATTCTTTTTTAGATGCTATATTCTGTGAAAACACTGAACCTCGCTCTCTCCAAGAAAAGCAAAAGGGAGCAAAACAGACTTTTGAAGAAATGATGAATTACATTCCAGGTAAAATATTTTAGAAGTAACTTAATTTCCCATAGATTAGCACTCTTTTGAGGTCACAATATATAGTATTTATTGAAGCTGACTTTTACTGTGAGTTTTCATTTTAGAAATGGTTATAAGGACCAATTATAATTAACTCACTAGTTAAATAAAATTTTTTTCTGATGTTAACACTAAGAACTTTAAGACAAGGCTGATTCTACTCACACAACAGCTAGATTCTTCAACAATAATATATAAACAGACTGATCAAAATGACATGTCATGGGACAGTTGGATTCTTGCTGTACACTACACCCTAAGAATAGCTGCAATTGTATGTATGACTAAAAGATCAAAATTCGTTCATTCATTCCAAATGTACTGAACTCCTTCCATGTTCAGGCACTATGCAAAATGTAAGGGGTATAAAAAATATATTTGAGTAGCTCAATCTAGCAGAAAGTTAGATATGTGGACAAAACATACATGTGATAATAGAGGCATATTCAAGTTATAGAGATATCACAAAGGAGAAGGATGATTACTTCTGTAAAGTTGGTAGTTTGGGGCCACTAAGTAAATGAATGGTAGTAACCTCTTACTGTGATGTGAAATACAAGGAAAAATGTTAAGGGGTCAAGGCGGAGGATACTTAGTTTAGGGTATTTTGAATGTGAAGTTCCTATAAATTATTTAGGAGGAAATGTCTAGTAAGCAACTGGATATCTAGGTTTGGAAGTTAAAGGAAAGGTGGCACAGGGTAGATTAGTAGAGATATGAGAGTCATGCGTAAATGGATACTAATACCCATGGAAAAAATATAGAATAATAAGAAAAGAGGTTGACTTCTGGTTTCTGGTCTGGCATATAAGAAGCTGGAAGTCTCCCCAAACTGAAAAATCAACTACTCTCAGATCTCTGAAAGAGCTGAGGTCACAGGGCAAAACACTGCCCCCAAAATTGGAAAGACCAATAAGCAAGTAGAATACAGAGAATCATAGATAACTGGATTAGAAACCTACAAAAACAAACCTCTGTAGGAACCAGTGCTGAAGTAGGGAAACCTGAACTGTAACTGATGAATTGCTGGAGGGTATGACATGGACAAATCTGAGAGATTAAAACCTCCACAAGGGACCAAGTCATGGAGGAGCCTACCACACTTTTGTGAGTTTTACCTCCAGGGGCTTGACCAGGTTTTCCCAGTGAATATGGGAGAAAAATCCCCTCATGCTTCTGGCAGCAAGGCAAAAAAGAACCATTTTGAAATACATCAGAGCATTCTGTTCTTCCTGACAAGGCCTGCCTTCAGGAGAAACTATTTAACCAGAGCCTAACTGATCTGGGGAAAGGGAAATACTGAGCTCCAGCCAGTTCTGGTGTTCTGTGTGGAAGAAGTAAAATACCCCACTACAGCCCACTCTAGCCATCCTGTCCTAAGTGGGGAAATAAACCTGCAAAGCACATGTGAATTTCACAGTCTCATTGAAAGACCTTGACCTCCTCATGGGGGAGAGAATGTTTCCTCTCCTTCCACACCTTACCACCAGAATACCAAAGGCTTATTTATAGCAGTTCCTTTTACCCAGTGCATCATGTTCAGCTATCAAGAAAAAAACTACAAGACATCCTAAAAGGCAATAAACATCGTTTGAAGAGACAGAGCAAGCATTAAAACTAGACTCAGATATGGTAAGGATATTACAATGAACAGACCAGAAATTTAAAGCATCTATAATTGAGATGCTAAGGACCCTTATGGATGAAGTGGACAGACAGCATGCAAGAACAGATGGGCAATGTAAACAGAGAGATGGAAATCCTAAGAAAGAATGCAAAAGAAATGCTAGAGATTAAAAAACCACCATAACAAAAATGAAGAATGTCTTTAATGGGTTTATTGGTAGACTGGTCACAGCTAAGGAAAGAATCTTTGAGCTTGAAAGATACCTCAGTACAAACCACCAAAACTAAAAGGTAAAGAGAAAAAAGAATGGACAAAAAAACACAAACAATATTCAAGCAACAAATATACTAAATATTATCAATAATCAGTTTGAACATCAATGGTCTAAATGCACCAGTTAAAAGACAGAGATTGTCACAGTGGATCAAAAAACAAGGTACAACTATATGTTGTCTACAAGAAATCTACTTCAAATATAAAGACACATATAGATTAAAAATAATTGGATGACGAAAAATATAGCATGATCACACCACTAATCAAAAGAAAGCAGGAGTAACTATATTAATTTCAGGAAGAGCAGACTTCAGACTAAGGAAATTTATTAGGAATGAAAAGGGACATTACATAATGATAAAAGATTTCAGTTCTCTAACAAGACATAATCCTTAAAGTGTATGCACCTAACAACAGAGCATCAAATTATATGAGGCAAGAACTAATAGAACTACAAGAAGAAACAGATTAATTCACTATTACGGTTGGAGACTTGAAGACCCCCCTATCAGAAATGGACAGATGCGGTCAGCAGAAAATCAGTAAGGGCATACTTGAACTCCATAACATCATCAATCAACTGAACATAATTGACATCTGTGGATTATTTCATCCAACAAAAGCAGAATACACATTCTTTTCAAGCTCACATGGAAGATTCACCAAGATAGACCACATTCTGGACCACAAAACACACCTTAAAGACTAGAAATTGTATGGTGTCTGCTCTCAGATCACAATGTAATTAAACTAGAAATCAGTAACAGAAAAGTAGATGGAAAATTCCCAGATACTTGGAGATTAAACAGCATACTTCTAAATAACATAAGCCAAAGAAGATCTCAAGAGAAATTTAAAAAATAATTTGAACCAAATGAAAATGAAAGCACAACATATCAAAATTTGTGGGATGCAGCAAAAGCACTGCTCAAAGGGAGATGTATATCATTGAATGTGTAATTTAAAAAAAAGGAAGGTCTAAAATCAATTGCCTTGGCTTTCACCTTAGGAGACTGGAAAAAGAAGAGCAAATAATTAAATTCAAAGTAAGCAGAAGAGAAGAGAAATAATAAAAATTGGAGTACAAATCAATGAAATTGAAAACACAGGAAATCAATAGAGAAAATCAATGAAACCAAAAACTGGTCCTTTGAAAAGATCAATCAAATTGATAAGCCTCTAGTTTGGGTTTTCTCTGTTATTTTCTAGAAACAATATAGAAACAAAAAAGTCTCTAGGCAGGCTAAGAAAATAAGAGAGACAACACAAATTAGAAATGAAAGAGGGGGCCGGCCTGGTGGCGCACTGCTGCAGTGTGCCGCTTGGGAGTGCGGCGGCACTCCCGCCGAGGGTTCGGATCCCACATACAGACCGGTTCCCGCTCACTGGCTGAGCGAGGTGCGGGCGCAGCACCGAGGGTTGCGATCCTGTTGCCGGTCCCGGTCCGGTACGGGCGCGACACTGAGGGTTGCGATCCGTTGCCAGACACGAAAAAAGACCAAAAAAAAAAAAAAAAGAAATGAAAGAGGGAACATCACTAGTAATCCCATGGACGTTAAAGGATAATAAAGGAACACTGTGAACAAATTTGATAACATACATGAAATAGAGCAATTTATTGAAAGATGTCATGTGCCAAAACTCACATGAGAAGAAATAGACAGTCAGAAAGGTTTATATCTGTAAAAGAAAGTGAATCAATAATCAATAACTTCTAAAACAGAAAGCACCAGGCCTAAATGGGTTCACTTGTTAAGGAAGTGAAACAACAAACATTAAGAAAGAAATCATACCAATTTTCTGTAATCTCTTCAGAAGATAGAAGCAGAGGAAATATTTTCTAACTCATTCTATGAGGCCATCATTACCCTAAAATCAAGACCAGATTAAGGCATTCCAAGGAAAGAAAACTATAGACCAATATCTCTCATGAACATAGATACAAAAATCCACAGCAAAATATTAGCAAATCAAATCCAACAATGTATGCAAATAATTATACACCACAACCAAGTAGGATTTATGCCAAGTACGTAAGACTGGTTAAATATTTGAAAATCAATTAAAATAATTTATCTCATCAGTCTAGCTAAAGAAAAATCAAATGATCATATCAATAGATGCAGAAAAAATGTTTAACAAAATCCAACACCCGTTCAGATTAAAAACTCTCAGTGAACTAGGAATAGAGAGGAACTTCCTTAACTTGGTAAAGAATACCTACAAAATAACTACAGGTAAAATCAAACTTGAAGCTGTCCAAAACCCTAAGATCAGGAAAAAGGTAAAGATGTCTCTACTCACCACTGCTTTTTTCAACATCATGAGACAAGAGAAGGAAATAAAAAGAATACAGATTGGAAAGGAAGAAATAAAACTGCTTTTGTTCCCAGATGACATGATTATCTATGTAGAAAATCTGAAAGAACTGACAGAAAAACTCCTGGAGCTCATAAGCAATCATAGCAGGGTTTCAGGAAACAAGATTAATACAAAAAGTCAGTAACATTCCTATATACCAGCAAAGAACAAGTGGAATTTGAAATTAAAAACAGTACCATTTACATTAGCACCCAAAAATGTGAAATACTTAGCTTTAAATCTAATAAAATATGTACAAGATCTGTATGAGGAAAACTGCAAAACTCTGATGAAAGATTATCAGAGAGATATTTGGGAATAATGGAGAGAGAGTTCATTTTTGTGGGCAGGAAGACTCAGTATTATCAAGAAATCAGTTCTTAGCTTGACCTATAAATTAAACACAGTCCTGATCAGAATCCCAGCAAGTTTTGTGGGTATTGACATACATTTTGAAGAGTATGTGGAGAAGCAAAAGACTCTTGAATAGTCAACACAATATTGAAAGAGAAGAACCAAGTCAGAGGATTGATGCTCCCTTACTTCAAAACACACTGTGCAGCCACAATAATCAAGATAGTGTAGTATTGGTGAAAAAATAGACAAATAGATCGATGGAACTGAATGGAGAGCCCAGAAATAGATCCACATAAATAATAAATAATGCCAACAGATCTGTGACTAAGGAGCAAAGACTATACAGTGGAGAACAGATAGTTTTTTCTATGAATCGTGCTGAAACAACAAAACAAAAAAATCCACAAACAAAAAAATGAACCTAAATGCAGACCTTACACCCTTTACAAAAATTAACTCAAAATCAATTGTATTGGTTAGAGCATGGGGTTATAACACCAAGGTCAAAGGTTTGGATCCCCATACCCACCCGCCTCCAAAAACAAAAAATCAATTAATAGACTTAACTATAAAAAACAAAACTATAAAACTCAGAGATAACATAAGAGAATATATAGATGACCTTGGGTTTGACGATGAATTTTTAGTTGCAACATCAGAGGCATGAACCATGAAAGAAAGAACTGATAAGCTTTACTTCATTAAAATTAAAAATTTTGCTGTATGAAAGACACTGTTAAGAGAATGAAAAGACAAGCCACAGACAAGAAGAAAATATTTGCAAAGGATATATTAAAGGACTATTACCCAAAATATATAAAGAAATCTTAAAACTCAACAATAAGAACACAGCCTGTTTAGAAAATTGGCTAAATACCTTAACAGACATCTCACTAAAAAAGGTATACAGATGACACGTAGGCATATGAAAAGATGCTTCACATCAGATGTCATCAGGGAAATGCAAATTAAAACAATGAGATACCACTATACACCTATTAGAACAACCAAAGTTTAGACTGCTGACCACCAAATGCTGTGAGGATGTGGAGCAACAGGGCTCTCATTCATTGCTGGTGGGAATGCAAAAATGGTACAGCCACTATGGAGGAGAGTTTGACAGTTTCTTACAAAACTAAAGAAGAGTCTTACCATAAGATCCAGCAGTCGTGCTCCTTGGTATTTACTCAAAGGAGCTGAAAGCTTCTGTCCACACAAAAACTTGCACACAAATGATACTATAGTCGAATTGCCAAAATTTTTTGGCAACCAAGATGTCATTTAGTAGGCGAATGGATAAACAAACTGTGCTACCTCCAGACAATGAAGATATCACCACAGTACCTCAGTGCTCTAAATAAATGAGCTATCAAGCCATGAAAAGACATGGAATAACCTTAGATACATATTTCTAAATGAAAGAAGCCAATCTGAAAAGACTTCATACTGTATGATTCCAACTATATGACATTCTGGAAAACTAAGGAGACAGTAAAAAGATCAGTGGTTACCAGGGGTTGGGGGTAGGGAGGGGTGAATAGGCAGGGCACAGAAGACTTTTAGGGCAGTGAACTACTCTGATACTATAATGGTGGATACGTGTCATTATACCTTTGTCCAAACCCATACAATGTACAACACCATGAGTGAAGTGCAATGTAGATTGTGGATTTGGGGTGATAATGATGTGTAAGTGTAGTTCATCAGTTGTAACAAATGTACTACTCTTGTGGGGGATGTTGATAATGGGGGAGGCTATGCATATATTGGAGCTGGGTTGTATTGGAAATTTCTGTACCTTCTGCTCAATTTTGCTGTGAATCTAAAACTATTCTGAAAAATAAGGTCTATCTTTAAAAAAGAAGAGAATAGGGGTTAGGGCAGAACCTTACGAATTCTCAACATTGAAGAATTAGTTTTGGAATAGTTCTGCTGTTTTTTGTGAAGACAAATATCTGCTCTGAGTATAAAAGTGGACATAATCTATTTTTGAGTAAGTCCTCTGTAGGTAAATGATGAAGTAAAGGTCTTACCTGTCTTACAACATGGTGACCCTTAGCATTCATGCTTTTAATAGTCTCAGTTTTGATGTTCAGGAACAACATGGAAAACCAGTGAATATAGTAATTTGTTACTTTGCTGAGGCACAAATTTGAATCACATCTATTGTAAGACTTCGTTTGGGAAGGAGTAACTTAGCTAATGAGTAAGCCTAGCATGGCTTTCTGTTGTCCTCTATTCTTCATCTCTTACTTAGAGACACCTGAAGGATCTGAAAGCATCACTTATATTTGTCCACTAGTTTCATGCTTATTAACTGGGAAATTCTATGTAGTATTGGTGAATTCAAGGATTCCCCGAGATCCATATTGGGCCACAGATCTTGAAAATATCAAGGATGTCTTATGCTTATTGTAAATTGAACTTGACCTTTGCCTCTTAGGGTTAGATCTACCTTATAGAACCAAGCATAAAGTGAGAATTTCCTGTGAATAACAGTAAGAGTTTAGTTATGATGGGGGAAAAGGGAAAATATTTGAGCACCTTGTTTACTTAAGAATAGTTTTCTTTTCCTGTTTGGGGAAAACATTCAGTGAGATTTTAGTAAGAATTGGTTCTTTCAGGTAATGAATGACTGTTACGTGAGAGCTGTGCAGTCAGACATGAATCTGAACTTGTTGGACTCTAAATTAGTGTTTAAACATTTGTAGCGTTTTCCAAAATGATTGGTCCGTTACATGGTTAGTTGTAATTTATACAAAAAGTACAGAAATAAAGTGGCTGTATTCATTGAGAAAAGCCTACCTTAAAATTAGTTAAAATTTTTTTCTGCTATTAAGAGCACTATGAAAATATATTGAATAAAAAGTTGAAGCCATCCTCTTCCCACTGTGTAGAAATAGGCTCATGCTCTCATTTGGTGTTAATTCTCACATTTTTCTATGTATATCTATACATAAATGTACAAACATCATTTTAGGCTTTATTTTATTTATTTATTTTTTTTACCGTAATGCGATAGAATAATATATATTATTTTCCAGCACTCTTTTAACTAAATAGTATAAGCAGATGCTTTTACTATAACATGCCTGAAAGCTTGAGGTATGCTTTGTGCATTGTGAATGTCCAAAAGGAGGAATACTTGATACTTTGTTTCTCAATTGACCATAGAACACTTTTTCTAGCAGCCTCTTGCAGAAATGCTGGTTTGGGAAATACTGATTTATAGTTTTTGCGTAATATCTGGGAAACAGGGTGGAGATTTTGCTTTATAATCATTAATGTGGGTCACTTTAAATATAAAATTGTTTTACATTTGGCTTTCTTGTTTAGATCTGATAGTCAAGTGTATCGGTGAAGAAACCAAATATGAAAGCATCAGACTTCTGTTTGATGGCTTACAACAGCCAGTACTCAACAAGCAGGTAAAATTCATTACAGTTGGTAGACTAGTGTTGGCTAGTTTTGGTGAATGACAGTTTGGTGTCCTGGAATATTATTAGCTGCGTAAGTGACATGATACTAAATCAAGGCAATGCAATTCAAACATTTAGATAGAAAAAAGTGTTTTATTGGTGTTCTTTTTTTGCTAATTACCTTTTTTCTTTATAACACGAATTATTTTGATTTAAAATTAGTATGTATTCATTGTGGAAAATTTGGAATATATAGGAAATTTATGAAATAAAGTAGAAACTTTACAATAGGTAATTCTATCATTCAACTTACGTAAAATAACCACAGTTAACATTTTTATGTTTATAGTCTATATATATATTCTGTTTAGATCTTAATGCAGTTGCAATTTTGTGTTCTGCTTGTTTCTTTAAAATTTTTGTTACATATAAAAAATTTAGCATAAAAATGGGTTATAAGGCATAGTAATATGATGTCCACATGCAAACACAGGTTTACCTACCACCCATTTTAAGAATAGAATGTTATTGATGGTATTGAAGTTACTTTTCTCCTTGTTTTACATTGTCAATCCTGTTCCATGACATTCCATTTAGAGGTAATCACCATCATGAATTTTGTGTTTATATATTTTATGTTTTTATTGTACAGTGCCTCAAAATTTATTATTACTATTTTTTCTGTGCTTTAGCTGACTTACGTTTTATTGGACATTGTGATACAGGAACTGTTTCCAGAGCTCAGTAAGGTAACTGAAAAGCAGTAATTTTATTCATTATTCTCATAATGGTATACTGACATTTATTTTAGTTAGGGCCACAAAAGTTAAAGAAACCCTTGTGACTGTGATCCTTTATAAAATGAACAACCTAAACAAATGGCTTTTTATATTTTCTTTATACAACATGTCCAAACAGAGTGGATTTGGGGCATAAGAACTGAATAGCCTCTGCTTTGACTTCATCCCTACCTAATTATAAGCAGATAGGAACACTTTAAAGTCTTTCCAGAGGATGTTAGTTTGAGTCCTAGCACTAGAATGGGCCAAGTTCTTTAGATTATCATCTACAACATTGTATGCTATGTGTCAGAGACTTGAGTATTTTTTGAAGCACTTGAGTTTATATGAACTCAAGAGCACACAATGAATTGTAATTAGAGCATGGTAATATTATATTGAATCTTACGGACTTTGAGTTTTGAGCAAAGGTTTAAGTCATTATTTTCTATTTATTTTTTGATTAATCCCTTTGGTTGGATGAAAAAACAATATTGTTTAAGGCTGCAATATTGAAACAACATGTCACTTTTGTAGAGTAGAGGAAATCAGATTTGGACTATTTTCCTATTATAAGCTTTCAAGTTACAGTAATATTAAATATATATTAAAATAGGGTGGTAATTACAGACATTTTATGTTCAATTTACATGGGAATTGATACCAGGAAACTTTCAGCTCTGTTTGAGACTTTGTAAGGTCTGTCACTATATGTTGCCATTTTCTTATCTCTAAAACATAGGAATCTGCTGCATATGCCAGCTAATTTCTTTTGGTTTACAATATATGTATGTCTTAGGTTAGAATTTTAATATACTAGAACTGTTAGGCAATCCACAAATAAACTGTGTCTTATTGTTTTCTAGTAAATGGATTTATTTTTACTTTAGGTACAGAAGGAAGTTGCCTCTGTGACGTCCTGGATGTAAACGTTTGGATTTGGTATAACCAGCTGAAATATCTGCTGTGCTAGTGTAGTACAAATGTACTTTTTTCTTTTGTATATTCTTGTATATAATATCCTGTACTTCAGTGTCTGAAGTTTTGATTTTTTGTTTTAATAAAGACTAACATAAACTTAATAAAGATTAAAAGTGATTGGATTTCATAGCCATTCATTTTACACCTTTTATCCAAATTTTATTAGAACATATGCTATTTGTTATTGCCCTCTAAAATTCATAATCCTAGGGCTGGCTCGTGGCTCACTTGGGAGAGTGTGGTGCTGACAACACCAAGTCAATGGTTGGGATCCCCTTACTGGTCATCTTTAAAAAATAGAAAAATAAATAAAATAAAATTCATAATCCTCTTTGGGCAAAGAGATAAGAGCAATAACCTTTGTATTGTATCACTTTGAAAATAATTATTTTTAGTGTGGAGAAATAGGAGTAAGATCTGATTTGCTTTTTTATTAAGAGTTAATACATTTTAGTAGATTTGTTTTCCTTTTTTTTTTGTTTTCTATATAGTTAGCTGTTTGCATATAAATAAAACATCCTGTATGAGTTTTTCATAATAAACAAAAATGATTTCTCCTTATTCTTGCTGGATGACTGACAGGTTATAGCCCTATTGGGTTTGAAAAGTGAATACTTATGAATACTGTATTTTTGATTGTTTGGCTGCAACTAAGTTTTATTGAATTGTGTATAACCACATTCCAAAAGCTCATATAAACAAGGCAAGAGATTTTTGGTTTATGTTGTTTGTTAAATCTTTAAAAGAAAAATATAGAATTAACTGTATTTCTTAAGAAAAGTCATTTAAAAATTATTTTTAAAGATTCAGTGTTCATGAATTCTGGCACCTTGATCTTGGACTTTTCAGCCTCCAGAATTGTAAGAAATAAGTTTCTGTTCGTTATAAAAAAAATTTTTTTAAAGATTCAGTGTTTAGAATTCTACTTACAATTTTTTGCTGTGCTTTTCTCCTTGAGACAAATTTGTCTATCAAGATTGAGCATTTTGTGTTTGATTATTGGTTGTAGTGTTTATTCAGAATATATTTATTGAGCTTCAACCATGTATTACACACTAAGCTGGGTAATATGGGAACTCTGAATATAATTTGGAGAACAAACACAATTATATTATTCATTTATTTTTTCCAAGATTTCAAAAAATGCTTGTTAGGTGTAAACACATTTTTGGAAAGGTTTCTTAGCAGTTTTATTTTATTTTTAAATACTTGAAAATTCTAGAATATGTATGAGTTTCTGTGAATCAGTGGTTTAATACCAAGCCTTGGATAATAAATATTCTTAGGTACAGGTGGAAAACTAATCAGGTTAACTATTCAGGTTATGTAATATCCATAACATTTTGAACATTATAATTTAAAATGTCATGAGTGAACTGGAAAATGAAATATTTTACAGCCCTTTTTATGTCATCCTCACCTATTCTTGAAATTGTGATATTCTGTTTATTTAGACGAGAAAAAAGTTATTGTGGGTGTATTAGTCTGCTTGAGTTGCCACAACAAAATACCATAGACAGAAATTTACTTCTCATAGTTCCATAGGCTGGGAAGCACAAGATCAAGGTGCCAGCAAGGTAGGTTCCATTCTGAGACCTATTCTTTTGCAGGCGGCCACCTTCTTGCAGAATGCTCACGTAACCTCTTTTTGCATATGTAGAGTGATAAAGAGAAATCTTGCTCTCTCTTCCTCTTCTTACAAGGCCACAATCCTGTCAGATTAAGATCCCACCCTTATGACCTCATTTAATCTAAATTACCTCCTAAATGTTCCATTGCCAAATATAGTCACATTGGAATTTATGGTTTCAACAGATGAATTTTGAGAGGACACGATTCAATCAATAACAGTGGGTGAGCTCTATTTAAAGGAAATGTGATGTATAAAAGTCTACACATACAAAATTAATAAGTAATTCACATGATAAAAAGGGAAAGGAACTAAAATGCAATCCCTGTTGTTTTCCAGGCATTTTATTTATATCATCATATCATCACAATAAGGTAGTGTTACTCCTATTTTATAGGTGAGGATATTGGGAGCAGAGAGAGTAGTGAAGATAGAATTCAAAGTTAGTCTTGTTTGTGTCATTGTTGCACCACGAAAGGAGCTTGTTTCCAAAAGTCATAAATGTCTGAATCCCCTTTAAAAAGTATGTCCCCCTGGTGTATTTCAAATATTTTATTTTGCACATTCCATTTTTATGTGTATCCTCTGGTGCATGAGCTTCGCAAAGAACATATTTTGAAATGTGTTTACATGAGCAGAACCATCAGTATTCCTGGTTGGGGGGATGTTAAATAGATGGAAAACACTTTGAAATTTATAAAGCACGTTGTAAGATTGTGTTACACGTATTATAATTTAGTTGTAGATATCAGAAGATAATGCAAAGTGGTTGAAAGCAAGCATTTATCATTTATTGGTTTACTATAAAGTATTAGATTTTACAAGAGAGATATAAATAGAAGTCTCATTTGCCCACTGTTCTTTTTAGCAGACTGTATAATGATGTATGCACAAGTTATAATTTCAGATACAATCAACAATATTAGAATATAAATGAATGAATGAACAAATGAGTATGTCTAGGTAGTCCACCATACTTCCATTTCAAAGATGCTGTCTGTGTTATATGCCCAGTAATCTCTTCAATGATGCTAAGTACTCAGAAGAAATCCTTAACTTGAGGCTCATGGACCCCTGGAAGATTGCTAAATCCAATGAAAAATATTTTTCTTACTTTGTTCTTTTATGTTAATTTGGTATTACTTATGATTTTTTTCTGTCATGTTCTGTTATTGAGGTATTATCTCATTCTAGGTTATGTTCATGGTTGTGTTCCAATAAGATTTGGTTTGCATAAAGCAGTGGCAAGCAGGATTTGGTCCTTAGACTGTATTTTGCTAACCCCGATGCAGAAGGACAAAAGTGGGAGGGGAAAGGGATATAATTAGAAAAATTGTAATCAGCTACATATTAGGGGGCAGAGGGAAGAGGCGACAAAATTGAACCTTTGGAGGAAGGCATCTGTGCTTGGAGAAAGGCTTTGGTTACAGAGGAATTAGAATAAAGGAGTGAAACTACTCTGCATAATGAAATAAGAGAGGTATTTTCCTTAGATAGAAAAGTTACTTTCTTAATTAGTTATATTCTGTGGAGGGGGTGATGCTGGAGAAAGGGACTGTGGGACTTTGGAACTGAGAGAAGAGGGTGGCAGAGAGGTATGGGGAGAAGGAATCGCACAAACTTACTCATTTTATTCAACAAGTGTTTATTGGCACTATGTGCCAGCAGTTTTAGATGCTAAGGATATATTTGTGCATTTACAAGCCTCCATTCGAACTGAGGGAGACAGACAATAAAATAAATAAGGAAATAGTATAGTATGTTAGAAAGTAATAAGTGCTCAGAAGAAAAATAAGCTGAGAAGAGAAATAAGAGTGGTATGGGTAAGGTGTTATAATTTTAAATAGTGTGGTCTGGGACATTGAAGAAAAGATGTGAAGGAGATAAGAAAGCAGACCATCCGGATATCTGGGGTCCATGTTCCAAGTAGAGAAATAGCAAGTGCAATGGTTTGAGAGGAAGTGTGCCTGTTATGTAGGAAGAACAGTAAGGAGATGGGTATGGCACGGTCATGGTGAGTGAAGGGAGATGAGGTCAGAGAGGTTATGGGAAACCAGATCACAAGGGCCTTGGAGGCCCTCGTGATAACTCATTTTTACCTATGATAGAAAGGTTTTGAGCAGGTGAGTAGCATGCTCTTGTATTTTAGCAGAATCACATTGGTTGCTGTACTGAATGTTGAGAACAGACTATGCCTAAATTAGAGTAAAAGCTGATACAAAGAACTTGTTAGAAAGCTTTTGAATTGGTAGCTAAGAAAGAGAGGAAAGAGAGAGAAAGAAAGAAAAGATCACAATTTATTGAACTTTCAGAAGGAGAGAACAAACCTAAGGTTACTGGAGATGGGAAGGAGGGAGGAGGTTGGGGGAGGAACATAAAGAAACAAGATTTGTAATAATGAATATGCTAATAATAATAAAAAAAAGTTTTCAGGTGAGATGACAACAATTTGGATTACGGTAGTGCTTGTAGAGTTGTTGAGAAGTTGAAGTCTGGTTGTTTTTTTGTTAGGCCACAGGATTTACAAATGGATGAAATGTGAGTTTGAGAAAAAGGGAGTAGCCAGGGATGACCCCAGGATTTGGCCTGAGCAAGGAAGGATGAAGGGTCCATTAAATGACAAGAGGCAGATTGTGACTGGCACATGTTTTTAGGGGAAGATGAGAAATTCATTTTAGGACATGTAACTTTTGAAATGCCTGTAAAATATCCCAACTAGAAATGCCAAATAGGCACATGTATTTTTGAGTCTGGAATTCAGGGGAGAGATCCAGGTTGGAGATCAAAATTTGGGAGTCACTAGCACACAGATGTAAAGTAATGAAACTAGATGATATCACCAAGAGAGTTAAGTGTAAGTAGAAAAGTGGTCCAGGGTCTGTGCCCTAGGACTCTCCAGTGCATAACAGTAAGGGAGCTGAAGAGGAATCCCCAAAGGGACTCCATGTTATGGGTTTGGCCAATACATTTTAGGAGCATTAATATCTTATATTGAGTATTAAGTTTTCTTTTTCATTATAATTCCCTACACTTAAACACCCATTCAGTAAGGCTTTGTTTTACTGCTACAACTTTATACTACCTGCTTTTGGGAGTGAAGGGAGTACTATATCCATATTGCAGGACAATGCAAAGTGGCAAAAACTGGTACAGCATGGAGGGATGATAATGAGGTTACCTGAAGAAATTGTGGAGAAGCCCTGAGCAGCTGAGAGCATATGCATCAATCAGGACACGGAAGCAAGTTCCAGGAACTCTCAAAAATGGAGAGGAGGTGGAGAAGTTATTTTATTTGGAGATTTAATTTTTTTTAAGTGGCTTAAATGTCTGAAAAATGGGTGACACTGAAATTTCATTTATAAGGAAATGTGTTTTAGATAATTTTCTACAGTTTGTCAGATCCATTTTAGTAGTACAGGAATGAAAACTGTATAATTTTGTGTGAAGGATTTTACACGTGTTACTTCATATGTAGACTATTACTATTTAACT